GTGTTTCTCTGAGAACTGTAGTGGGATATAAACAGCCCATCTTTGCTGCTTTGTTCAGCTGACAAATGAGAATTTCTGATGAATAATTCCAGGAGACTTGCAGCAAAATAAATGGTAAGCTTGGTGTTGGGATCTTCTTCTTTTTGGAAAGCTCATAAACTTGAGAATTCCCGTTAAGGAAAACTACCCTCATAAGTTTTAGGAGACTAAGTTAATTACAAGTGTTTCACAGGTTTAAAGCCAGCATGGGAAATGGGTTCTGGTAGACTGAGAGAGTTCAACTTGAATTCTGTGTAAAGTTCCTGATGTCATTGTTTGTGGCTTTTTTATTTATTTTGAGGGGGTTTTTTGTTTATTTTGAAGTAAAGATTAACAGCATGTGAAAAATACTTTTTTTGAAAGGGCATATGACTATTTTGGCGTTTTTTTGGTATCACCCATTCCATCAACAGTTCTTTCTACTTTTATATAAGTCACTTTGTGGTGTCTCCAGCACTAAGCAGACTTTTTACATTATTTTTTCTCAATAAGAGACTGAGATAGATAATTTCCATTTAAACATGTTTATAGTGGTTGATTTTAAAGAAAAAGAGGATTGAAAGAGGATTGTCAATCAGCACTTTAAAATGTTATCAACAAATAGTTTTTTGAATATATGTATTCAATAAATATAGTGATCAGGCAAAATCTTCAGCTTCAAGCATTTTCAGAGGAAAATTATTTTATTTTAAAGTAGCCATACGTGGAAATGTAGTAAAGCATTTTTACAAGTTAGTAATAACCAGGAATGTGATGAGGAGTGGACTTATGCCACACCAGAAATGAGTTCTCCATTCATTACTGAGGAGCAATGATAAATAGCTTCTTCACTTCACGCTATCTTACACTATGCTTACAATATACAGAATGTATATTATTTACGTTAGATATTGTATATTCCTTCTGGTTTTTTTTATCTTCTCTGAAGTTTCCTGCCTTTATTGCTTCCAGTGTTTCAGTAGCTGTTTTCTAGCCCTGTTAATACAAGTGTTGGTTACAGTTTTAAGCTGCAGTGTGAATCAGTCCTCATTTGTGTAATGCAGAAGAAAGAGCTGTATTTTAAATGTGTTTTCTCACATTGGACCTTATTATCATGCTTTGAAAAAATTTACATCTGGTAGAGTTCTTTTGCATTAGACACCCACTGTCATTGTGAATATTCATGGCCTCTATTTCCTTTTTTGCCTTGATCCTTTTTCCAATATAAAAAGAGGATCAGCAATATGTCAGTTATTGGCCCATAGGTAGGTTTAGCTAAGCCTGTGTTCTAATCTTTTTAAACTAATAATAGGCTCAAATTGATTTTTTTTTTTTTTTTGCTGCTTAAGCATTTATTTGAGAGCATGAATGAAATGTGAGAATATAAATAAGAATGCCACTATTCAGATTTGATGCTTTCCTGTCCAGTATCTTCTGTTGCACCATTGAAATTGATGGTCATTCACTGACACCATGTCTGTCTGTAATACTTCATTTATCTAAATACAAGTTTAAATCTTCTGTGTATTTATACTTTCAGCGACTAAAATGTTTGCAGGCAGCCACTGCACAGAGTTAATGTGCAGGACAAAAGTTACTCATGAATATGCTAATACTAATGAAACTGGTATTTTTTTATTCATATGGAAAATTATGCATAAAGATTACCTTTGGCTTATATTTGCTGCTGTCTGTTCATTGTATGAAATAAAGACGATGAAAAGTGGAAAAGTGAGGTGAGGAAAAGAGGAGACTTCTTTGATCACAATAGAATAGGGGTAAATGATCCATTTTCTGATGCCTACATTTTTGCTCAGAACAGAACAAAAAATTTAATTAAATTTAAATCTAGGCAAACAATGTAATAATAATGAAAGCTACAAAACTGATACTATTTTTTGTTATTTATTGGGGGGTTTTTTTGTTTTTTTTTTTTTTTTGTTTGTTTGTTTGTTTGTTTTTTGCTTCTTTATATTCTAGGTTTTTATTGCAAACATGAATACAGTTTTATACAGCATTTCATGTACAGGGCAACTGAGGATCCTCTTTATTTCTATGAGAGAAATAATGTCTATGTGCCTTTGCTGCAAACAGTCTGTACCTTTGCAGTTTCTGCCTGTGTAATGGTTTACACAGACATCAGGAGCTTTGGGCTTCGAGTTCTCTCAGCTCATTAGAATTAGTCCCTTGTCCAAGGCTGTGAAAATGAATTTGCTCCTGTTTCCTCTTCAAACTTATACTGTTTCTAACAATCCCATCCTGTGAATTTAAAAGGATGCTAAATCTTAACAAATTAAAATAATCCTTTACTTCTATTCCTCTACGTTTGTGTGCCTCTCTTCCTAGAGACGAGATATTTACATGTGTGTTTTGACATTTATCCTTAGAATAGGATATTATTATGTAATAATAACTCTCATGTTTAATGTGAGTTTAACAGACTTTTTTCTTGTAGTATTCCTATTAGATGAAAATGTTCTTAATCTCAAAGTATAAAGGGTCTTGGGATACTTTAGGGGCATTTTGTACCTGCATATCTTTTTTGAATTACTCTTTAATTTGGGATTTTGAAAACAGATGACTCTCTCCTTTCTAAGGAATAAATTGCAGTTTATGTGACAGGTTTTGCTTTTTTCCTTTCTTATCAATTTCACTTTGAAATATTTAGTTTGGAATGTCTTTTTTAAAGATGGGGCTTTTTAAAATTATCAGTAAAAATAAAAACCTAAATTCAAAAGCCTGTGAGAATTTTATAACAATTTCAGTGGAGTTCTGTTTTGACCATCAGAAACCCCAGTCACGTCTGAAAACTAGGGCCAACAGATGACAAATAATTTTTAGTCAGAGCACCAGCCCTTTCTGAAACACAATGTGTTTGATTTTAAACTCCAGCCTGATGACTTGGCTTTTCTTTCAGCAATGCCAGTGCTCCAAATTCACAGTTTTATGTAATTCACTTCTATGCAATGAACCATGTATGTTTAGAGTTTTTCTTCCTCTTCTCTTCTTCTTTTACTGAAGTGTAAAAAGGAAAACATGGTTTATGTAATTATGCAGTATATTAATACGTGTAGGTTATTCCTTGGAATAGGAATAAAATGCAGCATTCCAAGCATAATAGAAAAAAAAATTGCTACACATCATTACTTATGATGTGATATATTAGTATAATGAAGACTAATAAATTTCCCTACTGAAGATTTTTTGATAGCTGATTATGAATCAAATCCTGCAGAACAGTAAAATTCTTCAGATGTAGGTGGAATGTTCTTGCAAGTAGAATCTCATCCTGATCCTGGGGAGGTGGGAAGGGGAAGAGGTTTTCAGATCGTTAAAACTGATCAGATTGTAGAACACCTACCAGTTGAATGGATTTGGTAGTTAAACAATTGGGAAAGCTTATTTGGTGTTTACCTACTTGAGTCCTTGCAGAGTCGCTGTTGTGATGCTTGGCCAAAGGTGCCGAGATTCCAGGCATGGCCAGGGGCACAGCAAGGAAAGGAGATTGACCTTTAACCAGTGCAGACAGGAACAGCAATTGAGCAGACAGCAAAGGAAGAATGTAGTAACTATTCACAGCAGAACATGTATTTCCCCCTGCTTCACTGAAAATTGAAGAGGTGATTTGAAGCTCATGTACATGGGCTCTTCTGGGGAAGGATAAGGCAAAAAATAAGAGTGTTTCCACCACTGAAATGCACATTTCTACAAAAAAAACAGTTTTTAGTGATTCATCTGAATGCACACTGTTCTGCAGAAGAGAGAGGGTCACTTAGTTTCAAGGTGCTGTGTCATTGCTTACAGAACTCTGCTGAAATAGCCATAGTTCTCACAAGGCCTTCCATAGTTCAAGGGTGGACTTTGTACATTGTAAAGAGAATAATTACAGGAACCCAATTTCAGTGATTTCTTACTGGAGTGTTCAGTCTGTGAAATTGCAGAATAAGAAAAAATTATTTTTGTATTTTCTAAGCAGTTCTGTGGAGTGTTCATATATTAAACATCCTTTCAAATGAAAATGCTTGTAAAATACACTTGTTTTTAAAGTAGTTCAGCAGGAAGATAATTTTTTCTTTTTCAACTGTAATAAAAAATACTTTAAATAGTGGACTCTCCTTCATATAAAACAGGCAGTGAGAACTAATATTGCCATTTATGCAAGTCTTTCTCCACAGGGTTGCTCTCAGTATACTTTGTATTATTTGTAGAGGGTTTTTTTAGTATTGGCTAAATAGAATGGTTATTCTGTATCTGTATAACAGTTTTTACAAATATATAACCTTTATAAATGTATTATTCTTTAAAACACCAAGAGGTCACAACATCTCTGTAACACTGTACAGTGGTGGCCTGCATCAAGACAAGTCTCATAATACCGTGAATATTTATTGAGATGCTAATTGTGCTCTCTGAATTGACTCCCTGAAGTAACCAGTTACTTCACCTGTAAAATTAAGATTAAGAGTATATAGCATAGAAACCTCAAAAAAATTCCCATTGGTTTCAGTGCCCAAGGCAAAGTTAACAGACTTTGACGATATTTTAATTTAGGGAAGTCTTTGGGTGCAACTTCAGAGACAGAAGGCTTGATCCAGAGCTCTGCTGAATACTGTGGAGACCTTTAAATTTGGATCTGTGAATGTTCCTATTTCCTAGAACTTGCAGGCTTGTAAAGTGCTACAGAAATTGCAGACTGTTAAATTTCTATGATTTTTAAAATTTTATTTTTAAATATTGAAATGAGAACTTCCAAGTCATTCATTAAATGTAAATGCTCCATCTATGGGTTCTCACTGCTGTTTTAGTAAGTGTATACAAGATGTTCAGTACTGTAAAAATAAATAAATCTATTTATGGAAATTCTGAACAGAAGTGTTAACTGTTATAATGAATACATGTGTATTTGCATTGTCATTTTTTATGTGTATATATGTTTCAATGCAAACTTTTTTTGTTTGTTTGTTTGTATTTACTAATTACAGGACTATACCTTGACAATGTACTTCCAGCAAGCATGGAGGGATAAGAGGCTGTCCTATAATGTAATACCTCTAAACCTTACTCTGGACAACAGAGTGGCTGATCAGCTCTGGGTGCCTGATACCTACTTCCTGAATGACAAGAAGTCATTTGTTCATGGTGTGACTGTGAAGAACAGAATGATTCGTTTGCATCCAGATGGAACAGTCCTTTATGGACTCAGGTCAGTATGAACCATTTCTAATTCTTTGGTCTCTTAATTTAAAACCATGATTACAAAGCTAAAAATAAAAACCATTCCTTGCTGGGTTTTTTTGTTGTTGTTGTTTTGTTTTCTTTTTGGAATAATGCTTTTCTTTTTATTGCTGTATTCTATATAACTGATGATATTCCAAGAAAAAAACTATTCTAAGGCTGTATTCTAAATCTAAGGATTTTTGTTAATACCATTTTTTGAGATAAACTTCTGTTTTTAGTCCAGTTAAGAGACTTGTATTAAGAACAGCTAAGATTGTAACTATTATTTGAAATACCCATTCTGCATTAAAAGCCTGGTTTAGAACTGCTTCTTCAAAGGAACTGAAATATGAAATACAAAATGAGGATTAGAGGAAAAAACAGAAAATATATGTGACAGCTGAACTGATAGTTTAACTGCTGTGTTTTAAAAATATTTTTGGTTGAATATTGGATTGTTTTGTGTACTACCCAGATTAATCAGCTTTCTGATTTTCACGGAGATATGACTGAGATATTATATGGGGTATGACTTGAAATGTTTTACAGCCTGTTGTTCTGTATGACTCTATGGAGAGGGGTGACTGGAGAAATCAACAAAAAAGCTTCACTCTTGAGAAGTTCTGGAAATTTTGGAAATAGTCTGTTTAGTGATGTTAGCAGGATCAATAATTGCTGAGAAATTGGTTTAAAAATACAGCTGCAAAAGGTGACTGTTAATGCCGTGTGGGTAGGTAACAAAATAGCAGGAAAGCATTGTCTGGGTTAACCACAGAAAATGCTGCAGAGCTGGGTATTGTATTTACCAATGTTTGTTGTGTCCAATTGTGTTTTCTGTGGGAACAGTTCAAGCTCTAGCACTATGGCTGGGAGCAAGTCTGGAGTTTTTGTGATTGTTCAGTGAACCAACAGATACTTGGTTCCTTGAAATGGAGTTGTAGTTTAAAGTGAAATATAAACCAACTACATAACACACATTTATATTAATGGAGTGAGAGCAAGAATAACAATGATTTTGGTGTAGTTTTCAATTTAAGATTCTGAACTCATAATCTTTATTATTATCTTATAGAATAAATTAGAAATATCAGATTTAATGTCTTCAGTAATGCTAACTTTTTTTCACTATTTGTGGCATTTTTTATTCTGACTACTTAACCATCTGTAATAATTTCTATTTTTTTAAAAGTTGGTAAACAGTAAGACGAGCTCACAAAAAATTGTCCATAGAAGGATCACATAAAAGAAAGTTTTGTTTTCTGGGAGTTTCTTTTTGATGTTTTTCAAAAACTTAAAACCTTTCATAAAATATATTTTGTTTAAGGTTTTGAGGGTTTTGTTGTTTCTTTTTTTTGAGCTGAACCAGTGTTGGTACTGCTTCATTGTTTTAGGTGAAACCCTTCCTCCTTTTAATTCAGCATAAATAGCAAATCTTTATGTGTCTTTTATGAGTCTTTTATGAGATGCAATAAAGCAAAATGCTGTTTATTTTTTACTTAAAGCTGTTTAATGTAATTAGAGGAATAATTATTAATGCTCTGAGTCTTTATTTCACAGAGTTATTTTCTTCAATACTTGCAATCACGGTATGTTATCCAAAATGGTTTTAGAACAATTCTAAAATGGGCCTTTTTCTATCGGAGGACTTGTGCATGGCCCAGAGTTAAAGATATTTAGATAGCTTTTTGCCCCAGGTAAAATTAGGAAATAATTCTCGAGTATTCTGGTACACCTAGCAGTGTCATATTTGGGATTATCAGTTCTTGCATCTCTTTTAAGACTCTACTTGGTGCATTTCAAGTGTTCTCTTTGCCCTGCAAGCTGGCACAAGATGAATGATGGATGTGAATTCTGCCGTTGTTGTGTTGCTGTGCTGCAATGAACTGTAACTGAGGGCAGGGGCAGAATGTTTATCAACCTGTACTGCATGGGCCAGCACTAAGACTTGGGACTGCAGTTGCCTTCACTATTATGGCAAATGTGTACTTGAACAGCACAGAGGTGAAGGACACCGCTGGTTCTGGTGTGTTTTAGGGACTGTGAGAATAGAGAGACTATGGAACATAACAGATACCTAATAGGCGTCATGATAAGAAAACGCCTTCTTGTATGTCCTACTTCTTAATGAACCACAGACAAGTCTTGTGAAATGCAGAATCGATTCCTCCTCCTATGACTCAGCTCAGTTGGTCTCAGAAAGGCTGGGCTGTATGGAGAAGATGCACCAGTGGTAACACAACAGGGTTATGTGACTGGCCATATTCTGCTTTTGCCTTCCCTGGACCAAGTGGCAGTCAATGATCTCATTCTAATATTAAGGTTTTAGTTTTATAGCTCTAAGTAGCTTTATCTATCTATTTAATATAAATTCAACTCAGAGTTATTGTTATTTCAAGTGTCCGCAGTACTGATATATTTAATTCTTGCTTATTAGTAATTTCCACATCCTGAAAATGCCTGCCTAGTTGTATTTCTCACATATCTAAAACCCCATGTGCACTATTATTATGAAAATCACTACTGTTGTTGCTGCATTTACTTTACAATCTACTTTTTTTTTGCAATTTTCTTTAGCTTATACCTGCACTCACACGTTCTTACTTTGGGATTCGTTTGTCTAAACTGAGATTCCTTTAAGTGTCAGTCTGAATTTTTTTTACCTTCCCATACATCTATTTATAATCATCACATACACACACATATAAATGTTGCTGTGAATTCGGCTGCATTTACCTTGACTGCTGTAACCAAATTCATTGAACTGCAAGTGATCTTATTGGTATAAATGTAACCATCCCTTTCTTTTGTGTCCCTATAGTTGAATTTCTATTTCATACAGCAAGAAGTGATCCATTAACATTGTCCTCTTTGTTTTTGTGAGCAGAACCCATACATGGTGTGCTTGTCAAATCTGATTAGAATTGACATTGGGAAGGTAAATTTCCGGAAGGACTAAGAAGCAGTTTTGTGACCACCTAGATTATGCTGTTGCTGAAAGAGGGGAGAGAAAGAGGGAAAGAAAGAGAAATGGCTGATAATGAATAGGCCCATGTAAATGGTTGGTTGTCCTCATAGTCTGTCTTCTTCACTGCAGCAGGACATTAATTAAGGGCATAACTAAATTCTTGACTTTTTTTTACAGACGACATGACATGCTGATTGCTTTTAAGTTAAGAAGGACTTTTATTTCTCAGGGATAACTGCCAGCTATTTATGTTTTGGGAAAACGTTTTATTTCATATTTTTTCATATTCCATCTGTCAAGAAAATTATTCATTGCTGCCAGGACCGGGATGTTCAATAGATGATGTACTTAAACATCTAAATGGTAAAAAATTGTAAACATGTAGTCTTAAATGAAGAGTCATTATAGGGAAATTTACTATGTTGGAAGTTACTATTTCCTATGTTGCAAGAGGATATTAGTGATTTGACAACATTTAGAACAGTAAATTTAGACATTCATCTCTAGGATAGCAAATAGTTTACAGTGGGTTGAGTAAGGCTTGAATAAGTTATGTAGTCAGAACTGAAGATATGGTTTTAACTAAATTTCTCTGTGTTAAAATGTCTGGTTTATATAATACACTTAGCAGAAATGGGTTCTACAGTAGATGAGATTTATTTCTCAGATTTTTTTTAATATATAAATAAATAATGATAAATACATAAATATATATATACATATATATATATATATACAAAATTTCTCCTGACTTTTGACATCAAATCTGTTCTGAAATGTGGACGGGAAGCTCAGCTGTATTTGTACTTTCTTCTGTGTAAATCTAGAGAAGAATCACTTCTCCGACTTTTGCAGCCTCTGAAAGCACCAAGTTTTTTGAATTATTTTCCAGGAATGAGAAAGCAAGATTTGAGAATGGCAACAAGTAAGATCCTTCTATTTGCCAATTTAGAATTACTGCTTGTTGTGTCACTACATTATGGTCTTTCTAGAACTTGCCTCCTTGCTGATAGAGAGTCTTGCTATCCCATGTGACAAAGTAAGGGGGAAAATTTAGTTTGGAATACAAGGATTAAATATAGTTGAAGAAGTGGCTGAAGACCAAGATATTTTGTGTGGTTTTGCACCATTACCAGGCTGTTTACAGAGATATTTACTCCTGCATATACTTGTCCCAACATTCCTCACAAGAGAGCTCTGTGACAGTGTGTAGAGAACGGATAAGTACATGACCAAGAGCATTGTATGCTTTTGTTATCTCTTCAGTAGGATGGTTTTATGCTTTTTGTAAATGAAGTTTGTGGGAGTTTTTTACAGAAAAATAGAATATATACAGAACTCCTGATATGAACCATGTTCTGTGAGGTAATGGTGTGCCCATCCTTCTTAACCAAAGGAAAACAAAAGGAAGCAGAACAGAGGAGTTTTTTTCAAAAATTACAGATTTTTCCCATTTGAAAGCCCAACAGTTTTACTTGCCAAGATTTATCTAATGCATTACAAACTATGAGTCTCCAGCTCAGCCAGCAATAATTCCTGTTTGACTGATAGAACACAGTAATCTCCCACAAATGAGAGAATTATATGTATGATAGCTTTGCTTTGTTCTCTATTTCCTGCTACCAGCATTGAGTCACATGAATCTTAAACAGTCCTGGATGACTGCATTTTGTGTTGTCTCAGCTGTGCCTTCTGCTGTCTGCTCACTGAGTTCCAAGTTCCAAGTTCACTTGGAAATTTTCACTTCTGCAAGTAAAATGGATTCTCTCACATTTTGCCCTGGTAAAACAACACTGGGGATTTTTGTTCAGCAGTTTAACTCCTCATAGGCAGCTTATTGTATATGAAATCCGATGGACAATTTTAAAAGCAATTTCTTTGCAAATCTCTTTAGTTCTCAGACCATATTCTTTTAGAGCTGAATTGTTCGCACCAGCTACCCTTCAATAAAGCATTTGATCTTTATTTTGCTACTTTATTCTGGGGATTTTGGTGGTTTTTTTTGAGGGGGGGCAGTGTTT